ATAACGTGGAACGATAATGCCCGCCAGCCATAAAAGACACGCTGTCTATTGTCCTTGTCTTCTCCTATCCTTTTTTTTTTTTTCGTGAAACTGCGTTACCATTAAACGCGCTTTTTATTACGAACCTCGTGTTTTTGTTCGTAATTTACGTTACACAATAATTTTGATTTGTCGGAAAAAGAAGTTTCTGTTTCACGAGCCAATTGTTACTAAATATAAAATATAAAACCCGACGCGACGCTTTTTGCGCGATAATGATGGACTCCCGATGCATTTTTTTTTTCCATTTTATTCAATTTTTGCAAACTCTGCGTTTCTTTTATAAGCGTAGATTTTAACGGATTACAGCGGCACGATATTTAAAATTAATGTGAAACAACAACTTGCATCATTACGGAGTCGTGTTAGGCTGCGGAGCGTTAATTATATAGATGAATATTAAATTTCTGCAAATAGTGAAGCGCGCGCAAGAGATAGCTCCCATCTTCCTTTCTAAGGGGCGATTTCATTTTCGTAGACGCGGAAACTTTAAAGGCGAGCCAGAAACATGTACGTGGTCGCGTATCGAGTGAGGAAAGCAAGGAGGTCGGTAAAGAGGGCTGAAGCGGCCCTCTCACCCATCTCCTCCCTCGAGCGATGAAACTATAAAGCCACTCCTAGTAAGTTGTAAAATTGTAATAGCCTTCCGGTATTTACATAATGCTACGGCGTAATAAGTGGAACTCGCCGAGTTTCCATTACCATTCCGCCGCTATCCGCACTTATCTCTACTAACGACCCGAGGGGGTCCTGCTCTCCCCCGCGTTCTTCTCGTGACTTGTATTTTTCCACCTTATTCTTCGTCGGGATAACCACAGCGAGAAGCGGCCCACTTCGTCGTCTGCGACTCCATCTTTTGTTCGCGTCGCGCCTCTGCTCCGCTAAAATTCAACCGCTTATTCCGCTAGCAGCTATAAGTTGATTCTCTCTCTCTCTCTCTCTCTCTCTCTCTCTCTCTCTCTGTTATCCTAAGTTAAACGCACGGATTTATTAAACGCACGTAAGAAGCCAATGATGACAGACAGCTGGGGCTATCTGTTTTCTATTCATATGGCATGATAATTAAAAATGCAAAAGAGGGTCTCTGTCTTGAGAAAAAAATAAACTTGTATAATACTTGTTTATATATGTACTTGAGAGAGAAGTTGAACAAAATTCTAAAAATTCCAAGTATTCTGATGTAGATGATATTAATAATAATAATCGACAAACAGCATTCCCTTTATTGTAAATATAGGTACGTGAGTCAATAAGTAATCTTTATATCACCTTAATTTTTTAGAGCAAAATTAAGATTACTTGTTGACTCATTTATCGAATTATTTGACGTTTCACTTCATTTTTCAATTGTTAACGAAACTGTTTATCCTGTATAACAAATGGGAACAATGGAGATTTTGACAGAAGTCTACCTAGTTTTCACAACAATGTATTCATAACGAGGTTGGCAAAATGCAAAACTAGATTTCGTTTGTTGGTGGAGAACATGAGGAAAGCCGAAATCCTGCTTCCACTGAAGAAGAAGAGAGGAAGCTGCGGAGCGGTTTCATTGGAATAAGTGGCCTCCTTGGTTAAAAGTTCGCCTTCTTCCGTCGTTTCTCTCCATACCTTGTCCATTCATGATAACATTCTTCTTTATTCCTGAGTACTTTTCTCCCTCTTTCTCTTTGCTATTTTCTCCTTGCTATGAGCCTCTCACCGACAAAATCGAGGCGAATCGTTTATTTAATTTTCGAGAGATCCTGCCATTTTATTTTTATTCGCAGGACTTTATATACTTCGTTGATTAACCCACCTCGCGAAAGAAACCTGCCTCTCTCATTCCTTTCTAGACAAGGACGTCGGAACGAAGAAAGCTGCGAGTTTGCATGGGATTTTGAAGAAGGGTTAGAGACGGAGAACGAGAGCGGGGAAGGTTCGAGTTCAGGAGCGCGCAGGGTGGAAGGACTCGCGTCCTCCCGGGGGTTTGCGTTACTCACCGGATATAGAGATGTCTAAGCCCAGCCATCACTGAAATTGCCAGAGTTTACCTCTTCCGCCCTTTCCGCCGCTCTCCATCTTACCTCCTCTCCCATCTTTCTTTCTACCCTGATCGTGCTTTCCTTTTCTCAGCATGGAACTTCCGCCCGTAAAATGTTCGACTCCTGCCTTTCATTCCCCGGTTCGTTCGCCCGCGGCTTTATTACAATGCGATTGTATTATCAAGATTTCAAGACTAAAAGTATCGGTCTTTCTCTGAGCTCTTCTCCTTTCAACTTCCTTAAGCTTCTCATATTAATCTACCTTGTCGGAGCTGATTTCACGGAGGAAAATCGATGAATTCTCTTTATCAAATTATTTCACAATGTTTATCCGAATATTAATGACTGTATTATAGTTCAGTTACTGTGCTATTGTTTTTATTTTACTTGATCCATCAGGTGCTATAAATTCTTCTTCAAACTTTTATTTATGCAAAATATATTCATACACGCATGCGTGCGCCATGTAAACACGCAAAAACGTATAAATGAAATATATAATTCATTAAATAAAGAAATAAAAATAAGGCGTTTTAAATATTTATTATGTAAATAAATGATGAAAATACTTCTTTTAATTTTTATATAGATATCCTCCGTAATAACACGACATCTCTACAACACGTTTTATTCTAACACGAACAGAGAATTGAGATCTTTAAATTAAAATTCTGAAATTTAAAATTTTATTCTAAAAAATATATAAAAAGGCAAAACTTAGCCGAGCAATTGAAATTTTTATATTTGAATGTGAACTCTTTTATTGGAAAAAGCGCTAAGAAAAGAGAGTTTCAGAAATATTTAGCTCCATATTATAAAATTTACAAAGTTCTGTTAAAAAAAAGTAAGGAAATAAAACTTACAAATATTTTGAAAAAGCCAAACATTAAAATTTAGACGTTTCAGACACATCAAGAGATGAAGATTTTTTATAACTAAGAAAACATTATCTCGTGTTTAATTATGTAATGATGAAGAAGAAAACTATTTTGCGCGTGCATTATTTATTATTTTTTAATTATTATTATTTTTTTAATTATTATTATTTTTTAATAAACATTTTTCAGAGTTATAAAAATAAAGTAATGTATATTTATAACTTTAGTTTTTGTGACACTGTTTGTTGTATTATAGTTCTTGGTTTTATCAATACGATTTTGTACGGCATTTTTTCTAACTATAAGAATTCAGTGGAACCTACATATAGCTTGATTAAATTCAAATTATAAAATATAGTACTCATTTTTAAACTTTATGATTTAGGTATTTCTTGGCACAAAATAGTATTCTTTTAAATCATAATTAAAGTAGAGATTTGAGTTATTGAGATCTAACTTTACCACCTTTAGGTATTATACGAAGGATATATGGATCTTAAAAATTTATTAGAAAATTTTTATTGGAATACCTATATCATATAGTTTAAAAATGATTACTATAATTTGAATTGAATAGAGTTGAATGTAGGTTTCTTTAGATTCCTATACGAAAAAGATGGTTCTGTTGAAGTATCTAAAAGTTTAGCTAAGTCTAAAAATAATCTTTTTGGAAACATGAAAATAATTATTTAAAACGTTCAAACTGATTACTGAAATGTCAAAGTTTTTCACAGCATTGCTCATTATGCTCGAGATTTTTATATAATTATTTTAATAGTCCAATAAAGTTATTTCAGATCTGTATAGATTTACCTAAATTTTTACTTTTGCAAAATTATTTTTTAGAAAAATATCGTATCGTATGAATATTTTCAGGAAAAATTTTTATTTCTTGGTATAATCTATTGCTTCATCATCAAGTATGTGAGCATGATGCGTGTGTATATGTGCGATCGATTAGACGGTCCTTAAATATTGATCGAATTTCTCGTGATCTCCATTTCTAATTCATTGGTTATATTATCATACCACACTGATATCCGCCGCAGTTCCCGATGCGTGGGTAGTAACGTTCAATATCAGATGGGAGACGCAAGGAATATCGGAGATTGAAGATGTCAAGTTTGTATGTGGTTCGTAATTGCATCAGATGCAGGATATCGTTTCGGATTCGCCGTGAACAATTTTAAAAGAACGAACGTTGCTTGTCCCGATGTTGCACGACACTTCTTCGCGCTTCTTTCGATTCACAACACGTCCATTCAATATGAATCTGCGATAAACAAGCGCTTAGTAACATTTCTTCCGATTTTGACCCTGACCTTTAACGCGTCCCCTTCTCAGGTTTCATTCTTTAAAACATAATCTGATAATTTCTGGTAACACTCTCTATTCTGCCACTTTTCTTCTTTCTTCTTTATAAAGTTCTCAGTCGATAAAGAGAGAAAATCTTGTATATTCTTTTTTTGTATTTTCTAAATTTTATGAAAGCACGAGTGTTTTTTCCTTCGTGTTTATGTATTGATATGTTATATTGAAGCGTAAGTTCGGCTGTTAATAATGCACCTGTGTCGATTATTTACGACTTTTCTGTCGATAACCAGACAGGATATGGAATATGAAAGACTAAAAGCAAGAACACCGCTAGTGGAAGAGTTTACCTGGAAATGTCATAGTACATCGAGACACAAATCATCTATATTTGATAAATTCTTTATCAATTTCTTTAGTATACGATCATATTGCGTTGAAAATTTTATTTCCTTTTCTGGAATATTGTTAATCGTGTTACTGTTCGTTTTTTAATCTATTTTTTGAAAAGAAAAGAACTGTATTATCTTAAAATAAGAAATAAAATATTAGGAGTTACAATTAAAACTATAAAAACGAATGTTCGCAAGGGCAAGTAAGAGTAAAAAAAGCGCAGTATTTAGTGTGTAATAAGCATAGTAACAAATGTATTCACTTTTTATTACATATATAAAAATTGATTGTATTATCTTAATTAAAAAAAAATTTAAGATATAAAAGTAATGTTCCTCTTTTCTTTATTATTTTATAGATGGTGACAAGGACAAAGAAGATCTTCGTCGGGGGATTATCGGCGCCGACGACGCTGGAGGACGTCAAAAACTATTTCGAACAATTCGGTCCGGTAAGTATAAAAATTTACATCATTATTACATTGCCTCTCATTGTAAAGTTAAAATTGTAAAACCCGACGGACACCACTTTATTTAATCCTTAATACACACCTTTAGATTATTCGTGTCTTGCATATTTCTTTTCTTTGAAATACTAAGAGCACCTGATCAAATATTGAAAAAATTTTGGCATCTAGAAAACAAGTTCCGTGCGTTGCCGGTCTCAATTCGTGTATATCCTTCAACTAAAATAACTCCGAAGTTCATCTCTGGGTCACAAATGATCCATCGTGTATATAGAGTATACATTTTTGTAACTAAAAAAATGTTAATTTTTTTCTTTATTTTCAACTAATTCTTGTTTGCGAAAATATTTTGCGAATTATTAAAAAAAGAATTTAATCCTAGAACAACATATATATTAACTCTTAATAAACACATTTTTGGTACCTTTGTAACAAATGTTGTTTGTAATATTATATATTATTTGTATTGTCACTAATGTTATAAAAAAACATTTTCCTAATAAATTATAAGTCTTTTGAATACAATAGCAATAATAAAATGTATTGCTTAAAATGTAAATGCAATATATTTTCAATTTATGGCTATTCATGCATATTAAAAAAACATCATTTTCAGGTTAAATAACTAAATTTTTTGGACAATCGATACTTGAATTATTTTTTTCTTTGTAGTTTGGAATGTCAACTTTAAGATATTAAAATATATTTTTCTTTAAACATTTTTATTTCAAAGTTTAATATTTTTGTTTCAGAGTTTTATATTTTTGTATGAAAAAGTGCATTTTTCTCATTTTGTTAACTATATTTAGTTGTAACAATTTATATACAATTTATTACAAATATACAACTTTACAAATACTTTTTAATGATGTCAAAATATACGTAAAAATTGTTTAATAATTTTTATTTACTTGTGAAAGTGATGAAAATTAATCCAGAACATGAATGACCGAACGTGTGTAGTAAGAATGCCCAAAATTGAGGTGTGTACTTAATAAAGATATCGCGTAAATATGAAAAAAGACGAATAATTTTTTAATAAATTGCATTTTTAAATAATATTTTAAAATGTATCACGTATCACATATAATACACGTATTTAATACACTATATAATTAGCAACGTTAAAGTCTAACAAGAAAATTTTCCAAGAAATCTTTTTATGAGATTTTCATATATATTAAAGCCGTATTTGTTCATATATATATTGTTTCAAATTTGTAAAATATTCCATATAAAATTGATTGTGTATCAGTATTATATAACATATCGCTACTTTCTGCTGGAGCAACGTGAACAATATCATTGACTATCATTTTAGTTGGTTACATTATCGATGTATCGCACATCCTCACCATTTCCTCTCGTGTCGCAAAATCGAGCGGCACTGTCGACGACTGTGATTCATGGGATTTACATTGTTTAGTACTTTTGCATATTTTATTGGCCATTTCGCGCGGAACGCTATTGATTTTTGGACGAACAAGTGCACTCATTTCCATTTACACGACGTCAACGGCGCGCGACGACAATTCTGCCTCGCTGCAGTTCCCATGAATTTTGATCGTTATGGCTCATAACAGTGATATCGAGGTATCGCTATTTGGATTGTTTCAAAATGCGTGACATAATATTATTCACGTGCGAATGATTTCATTTGCTTTGGTTGCCTAACTTGTTCATGGATTACAGAAAGTTAAGCTTTGTTAATCTAATTACCGTGAAATTGTATATTTAACTTTTGTTTTGTCTTTTATAAATTAAAGATTGTTTGACGTATAAGTCGTGTAAAATGATTTAAAAAGTTAAAGTTACAGTATATTTGTAAAGTATTCTTGTTTAAAGGTATCTAGTTCAATTAGATGAAATTTATCGAATTTGTCATATGTTTCTTGATTTATTTTCTTTAAATTTATTTCTTGAATTAATGTCAAAGTATGTCAATATCATAAATTCTCTTCGATAATATTCTTTTCGATAATAGTGTAATTGTGTGGTAAACACTTATGAGCTTAGAAACTGAAATCCACCTC